CCCGAGCGAAGCGAGGGTGAGTCGCTAGTTATTAATAATTATATGTATACAAATTCTCACAAAATATTTAGAACAGTCACAAAATATATTTTGTGGATACATTATTTTGTTTTTCAGGATGTTCTTGGCATTTCTGTTATATATTATGTTTGTATAGGGAGTAGATATAAACAGTTAGATTTAAACATTGTATCTAAGTATTGCCTATTTAATCTCTGTTTCTTTTTTACGTCATTAATTTTGTTTCTAACTCAATGGAAATATCCATATCAATACATAATTGATTTATTTTAGTGTTACAGTAAAAATATTTTGCACTAGTATAGTATTTTAAGCTTTTGTTTGATTATGATAATATATAAAAATTATAAAGGAATTAAATGAACGTGTATTAGTGTTAAAAGTATGTGTGTGTGAAATTTTCAAAAATGTTATATTTATCACATTCGAACTCGCAACTACCTGTATAGTAGTCTATACTGCCAGTGGCAACGACCGCCACATGACCATTTAAAATTTTGCTTTATTTATTTTAAAACTTATTAATAATTAGAAAAAAAATTTTTTTTGCAACATTTACGTCGTCTCCACATCTTTCTCTGTTTAACCGAAATTACACTTTTAAGTAAGTTGAAAGGAACGTTCCCGCCAGTATTATATTAACTGTTGAAGTGAATTAGTGTGCATTATGATATATTATATTTACGGTTCAAATAATAACTATATTTTTAACTTAACCCATTTAAAAAATCTGTTTTAACCATGTTTTTTAACGTCATATTGACGTTTTTAGTGTCATCGATTGTTTGTACAAGTGCGAGAAGTGTTAAAGGTAGTTCAAGTAAGTTATTTACAAATCATTAAGTGAAAAATAGCATATTTACTTTATGTTATTATACCAAATTTAGCAATATACTGTGTTTAAAAAATCTAGTCCTAAGAAGTCGAAAAAATCGATCTGATTTAATAAGGATTGATGAAATTAAAATAATACATTTTATATTTATTATTTCGCTGTGTGATGTAAAATATCCATTTTCTAGACTAGACTATGAAAAACATGCGAAATCTTTTAGTGCCTATACTAGCTTTTGTCCACGGCTATTCTTGTATAGTTTGTCTATATATAATTGCTCGTAAACAGATATGGCTAAAAACAATCTTCAAATAAAAACCGACTTCAAACAAAAACACTAAAATGTAAAAAATAACTGATTGGTAGGTTTTATTTACTATACAAACCTAATCAAATACTTTCTTCTCTACAATACACAAAAAGAGAAACAATCACATTTGTAAACTTTTGCATTTATAATATTAACTAACAGCTTACCCTCGCTTCGCTCGGGTGCGTCTCTAAGTACGCGGATTTCGTTCACAATTTCATGGGTTTTCATTTTTTACGCGGAACCTTAACTTTGTTCTAAAATAAAAGTATCCTAAGTCACTCCTTAAAACATCAGCTATCAACCGGTGAAAGTCCCGTTCACATCGGTCCAGCCGTTCTGGAGATGCCGGAACAAACAGACATACAAACATTTTAAGCTGTTATTTTGTTTTTTTTTAAATTTACAGCACACCTCCGATATGGGAGTCGGAGTCGTTGTTTTCATTTTTGTTTTATTCTTCAATTTTCAGTAGGTATTTTAATATTACAAACAGACACTCCAATTTTATTTATTTGTATAGATATTATGTATAGGCTGCGTCAGCTTTTAGCAAATTTTAGTGCTAGTATTAGCCAGTGTTACTCCAAAACGTAGTTTATGTGTGCACATTATTTTTGCAATACGAATGAGTAACAAACATACACACATACAAATGAAAGTATGATGTAACATTAATATGAGTAGTTTATTTCTATTGAAGCCATTGTCCCCTTGGGATCCTTAAAGATAGATATATCTTTATTACATATTTGACGACACGCTTGACTCAGTTTGTAGTTCCCTACTTGTTGTGCCAGTGGTCGCGGGTTCGAGTCCCGCTGGGGGCATTCATTTGTGTGATTAGCACGAATGTTTGTACTCTATTCATGGCTGTTTATATTTGTAATATGTATGTATTTAAAGTTATATACATAGGTATGTGTAGTGTATCAACTATCTGGTATCCATAACTCAAGCTTCATAGCTTACCATGAAACTAGATGGCGCTGTATGTTAATATCCCAACATATATATTTATTTATCATTGATACCTTCTCCACTTTCCTCGTAGTATAAAAACATTGTATATTAAATCTTATTACCTAACATCGTATGCATCGTATTTGTATATTGCATTGCTTATGTTAACCAAGTCTCTAAATCATTTATTTATTTCTTGCATAAATAACAGTTGACCTTTTACTGTGTTAGGATTGCGATCACTTTTCTTTAGAACAAGACTAAAGAACAGTATGAAGGTGGACAGCATCATTATTATGTACGTTAAATTATTTATTTATGTATCATAAAATATATGTTATACAAAATAAAGTAACAGAATGTCGACAAAGGATAACTTATCTCTATATGAGATTTCTTCCAGAAACCCTTCAGAAGTGAGAAAATAAAAACTAAAAAAAAACCGACTTCCAAGCACTAAAATGTAAATAATAACTAAACTGAGGTTTTCATTTAGAATAGATACCTAATCAGATATTTTCAAAGTCGGTGCCAGGCGACAATTTTTTAAGATATAAATATCTAATAGGTACCTAAATATGTGTTTTATGTATCGAAATATATTAGATTTGCTTTGCATCGGCTGGTATATATATATATATATATATATATATATATATATTAGTAGTTCCTGAGATTAGCGCGATCAAACAAACAAACTCTGTCTCTTTATATTATTAGTTGGTATAGATTTATATTATACTAGCATTGCCTGCGGCTCCACCCGCGATCAGATGACCAAAAACCAAATTCTTAGGTTTTACATACCTATTAGTATACTCTTACATTGCAGTTTTTGTATTTTTTCTGAGAAATGAGACATTTTCGCGCGGTAAAAAGTATCCTATATGTTGTCCCGGATAACCATCTATCACCATACCAAATTTCATCAAAATCCCTCCAGTGATTTTTTTGTGATGCGGTAACAGACAGGCAGACAATAAGTAGTATACAATATAATAGGCAATGCTAGTTTTATGTAACATATATTTAGGCTACCGCGGCCAATCTCATTGTGACCTTCACAGGAAATATTATAGTACACAAATATGTGCAAGCATATGCTATCTTTTCCTTTCACTCTCAATTTCAAAGTCCGGTAGTCGATGAGAGGTCAGACGCAGAACCGACGCAGAATTAACTTCAAGCTATTATTGAGATTTTTTTGACAGAAAACCCCTGTATTTATACTTGGCTTGACCCGGGACTCGAATCCGGGACTCCGGATATGCAGCCTTGCATGCTAGCCAACAAATCAGATGTAATGTCCCAATAAAGTATAGCCTATGAGCCAATTATTATATCAAACCTTAGTTTCGAGATAAAAGTTTTTATATTTTCGTTATATGTACTGGAAAAACAGTAACTTTAGTTACTTTCCGGCCCATAAAACATATCTAGAGAAAAAAATACATTGATCAATTAAGTATTTCATGGCCGCGTAAGAAGATGCAAAATGACTCTTTATAAGTTACTAGCGACCTACCCTTCGCTCGGGTTCGTCCCTAGCTTGCTTCCCAATATAAACTTTCATCCCCATTTTCACCCCCTTAAGGGATGATTTCTGGAATATAAAGTATCCTATGTCCTTTCCAAGGTCTCAAACTGTCTTTTCACCAAATTTAGATATAGGTAGATCCAGAGATTGCCCCCTATAACCTCACAAACTCACAAACTTTACGTCTTTATAATATTAGTATAGATTATATCATTTAAATTTGAAATCTGTGTTTGAATAATACTTTACTGTACGTTTATTCAATGACAATAATGATCGTGATAACAATCGTTTATAAAAAGCAAATTCAATCAGCCATTGACAGGCGATTCCCAAGAAGGCCAAGGTTCGGTTTCCACGATACCTCACGTAGCAAATTATTGTTTTATATTTCACAATGATACCCATATATAACAAATTAAGTGTATGAATATTTTTTTACGAGTATTACATACTAGTTTCGGTCTGAAGTTATGCTTTCATGAAAAATGTGATTTCTTTATAATTTTCTAATAAATATTTAATGTACGATCGAAATGTTAGAATTTTATTATATGTAAAGATAATATTGCATGACATTTATTATATAATAATTTTTCCCGCGTCTTCGCTCACGTAATAAGGGTCAGCATCAGTGGTAGCCTATGTCTTATGTCCTAAGTCCAAGATGGAATCTATGTCCTAGTCAAATTTTATTGGAATTAGTTCACTATTTTAAACGTGACAATGTAACAGATAGATTTACTTTCATATTTATATATTAATATAGATTAAATACATATTTTTTACAATATATATAAATATTAATATAGATGATTACCAATTATAACGCGACTATCGACCCACTCTCACTTCGCTCAAGCGCGTCCTCAGAACTTTGCATGCTTTGTATTTCTGGTATGATTGTGGTTAGCATTTTCTATAATACGTCAATACAAGTATTTTCCTTGCGCCATGCGTAAGTTGATATCGTGAGCAAATTCCATAGAACACCTGTCAATCAATTTTCATTAATCAATCATGGTTCAGGCGTTGTGCTTTTAAAAAGTGCATATAGCCACGGTAATGTTGTGCATACATTACCGTGATATAGCTCATAAAACAAGGTTTAACAAAATCTCCTTTATAATAATAGAATATATTATAATAGTCCTGCCGTATTACAATAGAAAAAGTGATAAAGAAAATAAAGTTTTTACATGCAATTAACAATTAAAAGTCAGGTTCAAAGGTGTCAAGGTGACATAGACTCACGTAATAGATTTATTGAAATCGTTTTACATATTTTCTACTATACAGCCTTGCCCTAATGTCGTGTGGCGAAATTTGACGTGATGAAGACTGCGTTAATTTTAGGTAAATTTATCGCCTTTTTTCCACTGATATAAATATAGATTGTTTGCATTATATATAAATGAATATATGTAATAAATTTCTAAGTGAGTCGAATATATACATATAATAAAATTCTAAGTGAGTCGAATCTTTATATTGAATATTTTTTGGAAAAATTTATTTAAATAGTCATAGATATCTGGATAACATAATGGATACTTTTTAATATCTCATCTCTGATAAATCTATACTAAACGCTAAAACGTAATTACGGACAATTTATAAAATTATTTCCCGTACTTTATTTTCCAAAATAATAGGCATAGAATTTTGAAAAATATCAAATATAAGGCCATACTCGAAGGTTATAGGAAGAAAAAGTAATAAAAACCTAAGCTTTTAAGCTCCTGTAAAGCTGTATAACATACAGGACCAACCATTTTTTTTGTACTATCTATACTTTTTTTGTACTAAATATAAAAAAGAGATACCTACCAAATAAATTAAAAATATAGTATTCAGCCCCTACTTTTTTACGCCCCTGCTGGGCACGGATATCCCTTCTATACGATCAGGCCCTAGTCCACCAAGCTGGCTATGCAGGTTCACTCATAATGTTTTCTTTCATCCTAAGGCAAGTGGTAATCATGTTTAAATGATTTGCATAAGTAAATATCAGAAATGGGCGACCCGAAATTTGAACCAGCTCATTTTGATTCTCAAATAAGCGCGTTACCACTGGGCTACCAGTGCACTACAAAAAAGGTTTTTTTTTTATTTAAACTTTTAAAGTTAAATTCAGTTTATAAAGACTTTTGTATGTACTACATACATAATTATTTATATCAAGAGAAAATAAATGCGCAGTATTTTTAATTTTTACAAGATAATATTGTTAATTAAGACATGATAAAGTGAAATACGAGGATCAGTATATATCGAAACTTATAAAATAATTATAGAAGCAAAATTTTGTGTGAGTGTATGTCCAGTTGGGCGGGTTTGAATATTTACTACACAGTTATGACCTGGAATAACAAACATAATCTGTCAAAAGGTGGCGCTAGGGACAAACCCAAGCGAATTGAGCGAAGTCACTAGTTAGATTAAAAAAAAAATTAAATTAAAGATTAACTAATTCACCTTTCTAACTAAAAAAAAAATAAAATCAAAATCAGTTCATCCGTTCGGGAGCTACGATGCCACAGACACACACACACACACACACACACACACACACACACGCACGCACACACGCACGCACGCACGCATGCACGCACGCACGCACGCACGCCCGCACGCACGCACGCACGCACGCACGCACGCAAGCACGCACGCAAGCACGCACGCAAGCACGCACGCACAGACACGTCAAACTTATAACACTCCGTCGTTTTTAGCAATTTTAAAAATATATATTAAGTAGTGACTATTGGCGCTCATACAGCGTTGTTGCAGTTTAATAGGTAGATCTTTTTAAGAGCAATAATCTGTACATATTTTTTATCAAAATATAACTAAGCCGAATCTGTACATTAGATATTTTTTGGAAAATCTTATTGAAATAAACATTATTATCGATACAAAGGCCGAATCTATAGTTTTTAGAATTTTTATCTGTCTGTCTGTCTGTCACCGCATCGCAGAAAAACCACTGACATCCTTATATTATAGTGTTTTGCATATTAACGTCCCTACCATTTTTGAACAATTTCGTAAAGTTGTTTAGAGGTAGGTCTCGCCCTACATCTTTTAATTTTAAAAGTATCTCTACGTGTAATTAGACCTGTGTCCTTACAAAATCCTTTCAAAAGTCCGGGCTCTTTTCAACGAATGAAATTCAAATAATTATGTAATCTCGAAATAGCCAAATATATATATATATATATATATATATATATATATGTATATATATATATATGTATATATATATATATATATGTATATATATATATATATATATATATATATATGTAAAACTCAAATATTTTTTTATTTCCAGATAGTCCTCCAAAGACATTATTTGATGAAAAAAATAAAGATCACTGGAGGATCCAAGCGCAATGGGTGCTAAAATTAAAGGTATTAAATTAATTTATTTATTTAGCTTTGCTGAAGACTCGACGTTCTTTTAATAACTCGTGTCACTTTAGTTACCGATACTGATTATCCTACGGAAATAGATGGCTCGAAAGCTCACGTTATGTACATAGATACTTTTGTAATTTTATTATGACATTAGAAAGTTATTTAAAAACTCATATTAAGTAGTAATAATCTATACTAATATTATAAAGAGGCATAGTTTTTTTTGTTTAAACGAGCTAACCTCAGGAACCACTAATCCGACTTGAAAAATTCTTTTTGCATTAGATAGCCCATTTATTGAGGAAGGCTATAGGCTATATATCATATAATATATAGTCTATCTACTCCATACTAACTGTTAAAACACAGGGACGAACCCGAGCGAAGCGAGGGTGAATCACTAGTATTGTAATAATTGTAGACATTCTTAAGTTTTTGCTTTAACTTAAACATTTTTTTTCAGGCAACATCGCCATTGAATACCAAAATCGCCAAGAATGTAATCCTATTTCTAGGTGACGGCATGAGTATACCAACCATAGCTGCTACCAGAGTGTACCTTGGAAGGAAATATGGTTACTTGGGAGAAGATGTAAAATTGAGCTTTGAAAATTTCCCATTTACAGGCTTAGCTAAGGTATCTTTAATGTCCCCCCCAACGTGCGTTCACCTTGTCGTGGTGGGGGGGCTCAGTAGTGTACTCACGAAGCCAAGAAACGCACAGGGAGGTGGCCCGCTTCGGTGGGCGGTGGGAGGCGGCCTTCTTCGGAGGGTGGTATACCATGCGGGTTGCTCCTGGTACTTCTCTGATAGCAGAGTGGACCGTGGAGCAACCCCATGGTTGTTGTGGTCTGCTTCGGCAGACCTGCCGTCGGGGCGTCGTAGTTGAATGCGTAAGCGATCCTGCGACGCCTCATTAAGACGAGGGAAGGTTTTGTTGGGTTTTAGTGGGTAGTACTGGCTTCGCCGGTGAGTCCCACACTTCGTGCGTAAATGCATTTCCCAACGTTAAAAAAAAAAAAAAGGTATCTTTAATGTAGAACTTTGTTTCATGATATCTATACATCTAATAAAACTGTAGAGGTCGAATGTCTGTACATAGAAAAAGAAATGCTAAAGACCGAGTCAGGGGGATGTAAGAAGACAAATAGAACAAATCCAGTTTTCTTTTTCAATTTTTTTGTTTCTCTGTCTGTTTGCATGGTCAAATCTCCGAAACTGTTGGATTGATTTAAATGAATTTTGCATGGCACCTTATGTCCCTGGCCAACATTTTAAATATTTTTCATCGCGAAAAATTAAAGAGTCCCCGTGGGATAGTTGAAAACTATAGTAACTTATACAACTTAGTACATAAAAACTACTGATTGGATTTTAATTAAACTTTACAGTAATAATATAGTTCATATACATTATAATAACAAATAGGCTACTTTTTATCCCGGAAAAATGTACGATTCCCGTGGAAAAGATTTGTTTTTGTTTGTCTATTTTAATATAAGTGCTTTGTAACAAATTTTATTAATACTTTCCAATTTTATTTCAAACATTATTATTATAAAAGGTACAGCCTTTATATCACAGAACCTATTTTCCACAATATATTAAGCACTTTCCTTATTTTAGAGAAATGTTTAGAATGCTATCAATCATTTGTTTTCACATAAACATCCAAGACAGCTTTTAAAATCATTTTTTCCCCATTAAATATTACCGACGGTACATTTCTTCACTCATATAGGTACTCCAGTTAACCACAGAGTGTTAAAGGCGAAGAACTGACGGCAACAAAGTGTAATACTACCAATTTTACGATTTACAGCTGTTTAACCATTAAACTTAAAAGTTACATACCTACTAAAATTTTTGTATATTGTCTTTTTACAGACCTATTGTGTTGATCATAACGTTGCTGATTCAGCTTGCAGCGGTACGGCTTACCTTTCAGGAGTAAAAGCAAATAGTGGCACTGTGGGTTTGAGTGGTGCAGTTAAAAGAGGAGATTGCGAGGGTCAGAGGGACACTAGAAACTCTGTCACTGGCTTGATGGATTGGGCCCAACAAGCTGGAAAATCTACTGGTAAGCTAGTTTTTACCCAACTGCGGCAAAGCCCAAAGGGTTATGTATTTGACCTGTATGTATGTATGTATGTATGTATGTATGTATGTATGTATGTATGTATGTATGTATGTATGTATGTATGTATGTATGTATGTATGTATGTATGTACGTATGTCCAACCTTATGTTCCATCGTATTTGCTAAACAGCTTAACCGATTTGGATGTAGCAAGACGCGCAATTAGTATAAAACTTGTATGTCTCCGACTGTATAATGCTATGTTTCTTCGTCAACTTGTTCTCATCTTTTTAGTTAGCTTTTTACGCAGTCGGTCTTTTTTTAATTTTTGTTTTCTAGTAATTAGGATCGTAATATGATTATGTAATAAAAAATAATTAGACTACGAGTACTTGTTTAATTAACATAATAATAATTTTATTAAAAAAAACGTAATATACTTATAATTACTTTAAACAACTGGTTGTTGGCCCTGGCTTGGCTTATCTAAGTATAAATGGAGGTAATAAATCACAAAAAAAAATCGTTAGTCGATATGGCTCGCTTAGAATGAAAGAAACCTTCGTGGGGCACGTGCAAAGACGTTAAGATTGTTAAAATAAATGGTTTGGAACAATTATTGGTAAATGAAGTATTATTTGCTTTAGTATAGCTATACATATATCTTATATATTAATCTTGGACACGGACGTGGAGACTCTCCATAATGAATCTTTTTACCCATTGGGGCAAAATGACATCCACACGCAAAAATTTATAACATGACATATTATATACTAATGTAAACATCAAATAGGCAGTGGTAGCCCAGTGGTAACGCGCTCGCTTGGGAAACCGAGTGAAGTGGGTTCTAATCTGGGTCTCGCAATTCTGATATTTTCATATGCTAATTATTTCCAACATGATTGCTACTTGTGATAATGGTGAAGGCAAACATCGTGAGGAAACCTGCATGTCTGAGAGAACCTAGCAAGTTTTCAAAAGACATATGAATTATGCCAGCCCGCACTTGGCCATTGTGGTGGACTATGGCCTGATCCCCTCGTACTGAAGGTCCGCCCGTGCCTAGCAGTGGGACATTAAAAAGGGCTAAATACAAATATTAAATAAGCATTTGCAGAAAACTTGTTTCTGCAACTATAGACTGATTTTTAATTCGACGGAATTCTGACATTTCAGAAGTGTTGTCAACTTTGAAACATTGTCACGAAAAACGGAAAGTATTTTAGCAAAATAAAAAAATAAACCTTTCTTGAAGTTAAGGTTTTAATTAGAAGAACTAAGACTTCAAAAATTATTGATAACTTTAAAATGGTAATTATTTTTTTTATTATCATATTATTGAAGTTACAATAATTATTAAGGAAATTATTTTTCTATTACAGGAATCCCTATCCAATAATCCATAGGTTGCTAGCCTTTTTTAGTAAATACCCCTTTGTTTGTAAAATATTTTGTTTTACTCTGTTTTATTCATTTAACCATTCAAAATTTACATTATAGGTAGTTAGCGTGCATTGATTGCACAAAACAAAGACTATTTACAATGTCATACATATAGTTTACTTGGTCTAATTCTGTTTCATATTTTTTGTTATTTTATATTAAAAAAATACAAAGCAGAATAGGTTTATGATATCTGAATTGTCAAAGAATGATAGCTGTCATATTTCCGTGCAATTAAAAATCAGACTAAGTTGAAATCATAAAACAATATACGGCTTATAAGGGTTATAATTTCAACTAAAATATTAAATGAACTTATTCATAGGTATTCTAAAATTTAACTTGATTTCTAAAATATTGGAATTCTATAATTTGCGTGAAAGCGATATCTGCGCGAAAAAATATCACGACTCCATTTGCGTATTTACAATCAATATAAGGTCCGAAGGTCGTCCTTTACCTATAATTGCTTACCGGAAGATAAATATTTGGAATGAAGTATAATATATAGTGAAACTAGTGACTTACTGTCCCGTAGGTGTCATTTACGACTTCAAATAAAAATTCTTTTTCTATTTATTATTAAATTATGCCCGTGGCTTCGCTCGCGTGGTGAGTGTGGCGGGAATCATAGGTAGCCTATATCCATCTCTATAGTACAATTTATGTCTTTAGCAAATTTTATCGAAATCTGTTCAGCGGTTTAATATTGAAAAGGCAGACGGAGTTACACAGTGTAATAATAGTATAGACATTTATAATATTAGTATGGATAATATTACGTAGATATATCACGGCAACTTTTCGTTATTAACAAAAGTTCTCTTAAAACTGTCACCAATTATGTTTAGGTAATTATTCTAGTTGAAATAAATATACAACAATGTAAATTGAACTTTAAATACAATGCTTAAAGTTGTTTCCACATATTTATTTTAAATTAAAAGCGCGCTCAAATGTTTAATCAGCGTTCATTCGGTGAAGACATTTTTTATCGCTGATTGTATATCTAATACTTTTTAGATCGATGATAACAGGTAAAAGTAACCTATGCGTTATTCTTTCAGTTCACTAAAACTGATATTATTTACTGAAAATAATATAAATATTTAAACCCAATTGAACTTACTTCCATAATAGCACTATTAAATACGACTTATCAAATGCCTTTAGTGTTATAATTGCTTAAATTTTATTACAGGCGCCGGTATTCGAAAGTATACTAAAACACGGTAAAGCTTCAATTATTGTGAAAGCTTATTTTATAACATTTGTATCACAAATTATAAATCAAATATTCCATTTTTTTTTTAAATATACTAGCTATAGCACACGACGTTAATTCATCCGTAAAGGAGGTTAGCGGGTGACCAACAGACAAATAAAAGTACATTTTTTGTAGTTTAGACATTGATATTGTGATTAAAATAGAGAAGTTGTTTTGAAATTATAAGTACTCAGCACAATTAAAAATTATGTACCATAGGTTCTCAACTATCAACTATCTACGGTGCCGAAAAACTAGAACAAGATGGTATCCGACAATTAATATCTAAGTATTACAATATTATCACTTGGTTTGAGTATTTAGTTTTCAGTTCGTTTATGTGCAAAGTATTTTTAACATGATAACCCCACCCCGTATTACTGTAAGTAAGTAAGTGCAAGAAAGTATCTGAGGAAACACACATATCTGCAAGAATCTGGATTTGAAAGATAAGTAATTGTGAAGTCTGTAAATCTGCACTTTCGTGTGTTGGAGGCTGACCTATATATCCCATTGACTATTGAGGAGAGAACAAAGGCGTCGTTAAAAGTCGACAGGATTCATTTATTATTATTAAACTTATATTAGATTGACGACTGTGCCAGCGGTCGCGGGTTCGAATCCTGCTGGGGGCACAAAAATGCTTGTACTCCAGTCATGGATGTTTATATTTATAATATGTATGTACAGGCTTAGCTAAGGTATCTTTAATGTAGAACTTTGTTTCATGATATCTATATATCTAATAAAACTGTAGAGGTCGAATGTCTGTACATAGACAAATAGAACAAATCCTCGCATCTTATTATAGAACTGGATGGTGCTGTGCTGTGTAAACATAATATCATAAGGTTTGCTACAATATAAGAAATCAACAGTATACAAATATCAGTTAATTTAGATATAATGTATGCGTTACGCAAAATAGATACTAGGTCATTTGTAGTTGACAGTCTAGTAATTATAGAGCGAAAAACAAAGGCTTTATTTACTTCCAAGGTGAATTATTAAGTTTGGTAACACAGGTAGTACCTAATTACGTGTTTTAAAAAAAGGAAAAATATTGGTAATTTCATTCTGAATATAAATATTATTATAAGATGGCGATTTGTCATAATTTTAATAGAAACTTGCCACCTTAGTGTTGTACAAGTGTTTGCATCAAAGAAATACCCTTAGAGAAGTACCTACTTAGAATGTAGTAAAAAATGATATAGATTCGTTACTCGTTGCTGTGAGAAGTAGATTATAGTCATTTATATCAAGTCATTGAACTCTCACTTTATATAATTAACTCAAAAACTTAAGGTTAGGATTATCTGCTTACATTATCCTAACATGAAAATAGTTTATCTATACATATAATGAAACTGTTGAGGTCGAATGTCTGTACATAGAAAAAAAATGCTAAAAACCAAGTCAGGGGATGTAAGAAGAGAAATAGAACAAATCCACATTTTTTTATTTTTTTTTGTTTCTCTGTTTGTTTACTTGTACAGGCTAATCTCCAAAAGTGTTGGACCGATTTAAATGAAATTTTGCGTGGTGATACCTTATATCCCCGGTCAACATTTTAGATATTTTTCATCCCGGAAAATTAAAGTGTTCCTATGGGATAGTTAAAAAACTATATTAACTTATATACAGCTTAATACACAACAACTTATGCACCTAATTTAGTAAAATTTGGCATGCTGATACCTTATATTGCGAGTTAAACAACGGCTTACTTTTTATCCCGGAAAATGAACGGTTCCCGTGGGATAGATCTGTTTGTGCTTTTACATTAGGAAATTACAAACATAGAACTATATATACAAAACAAATATACACTTAATTATTACTGTTACAAGTCATGTCCGCGTGGAATAGTGGCAAGAATGCGAGCCGTATTATCCCGCTGAATGGCAATACTAATCCACTGGGAGAAATCGAGCCAGCTCTCCTATTACCAGTAGAGGTGATAAGACGAGATGGTTTGAAATTCAAATTCAAAATATTTTATTCAGCATTAAATTATTACAACTTTTTATTGAACGTCATGAGTCTATGTTTTTTTAACATAAGTTTAACATTCCAGGTATAGTAACTACTACTAGAGTAACACATGCGTCACCCGCGGCTGCGTACGCGCACTCTGCGGATAGGAAGTGGGAAGCGGACGTAGACATGCCCAGACATGGCCTTCGTTGTGAGGACATAGCCAGCCAGCTTATTAGGGGCCGAGTGGGAAGCAGTATTGACGTAAGTGTTCTTGAATGCGTGATGTAATATAATACGTATCAATAAGATGATTACTCGTAATAGGCTTAGAGGTCACAAAACAACCAATTGAATTGAATTGATGTTATTTAGTACCTGGATGTCTATAAAATAATATAACATTAGGGTTTTTTGCAACAGATATAATATCATTTAGAAATGGACGTATCTTTTCTGTACCTATATTCGTTTGAGCGCTTATAGAATCAAAAAGAGACATGGTTTCATTAGTATCATAACACTAGCGGCTTACCCTCGCTTCTCTCGGGTTCGCCTCTAGAAAAATAAAAACATACCTCTCCCAAAGGAACAGTAATTTTTTTTGGGATAAAAAGTAGCCAATGTATTATTCCAGACTATAATCTATCTCTGTGCCAAATTTCATACAGATCCGCTCAGCCGTTATGGCGTGAAAGAGTAACAAACATCCATACATACTCACAAACTTTCATATTTATAATATCAGATCTATTTGTTTATTAGGGTTCCGTAATCGAAGGGTTCTAATGGAACCATTCATCTGTTAGAGGGCTGTGTCTTATGAACCGTAATAGGTAGAGTTGAAATTTTCACAGAGTGTGTATTTCTATTGCCGCTATAACAAGAAATAATAAAAAAAAACTAAGATGGCGAATTTAAAAAGGTCTTGATGCAAATTATAAAAAACATCAATTACGGTACGGAACCCTTCGTGTGCGAGTCCGACTCGCACTTGACCGATTTTTTTCCTTTGTGGAAGAAAACAAATATAAAAACTATTAGAGATTCATCATGAGTTAGCTATAAATAACTAAGCAATAAGAAACATTGTTTAGTTTGCTGTTACTAGATGAAACTACATAAACAAACTTACAACGTAAATTCTTTAGGGTTTTTAAGGCAAACATATTAATTTAATCAGTGTAAATTGAATTTTCACGCTGATTAATCTGCAATTTTGCTTCTTCAATATTTCACGCCAACGATACAAGGTGAAATAAAACTATATTATTTAATGTTATGTTAAACGATGTTAGCTACCGAATTAGTGAAAATTTTAAAATTAAAAATAAGTTATATAGGACTACAAAAGGTTTTTAACTATACAGATAAATAATTGAAGTTTCTGTTTGTAACATCAAAATAACAGCTTTTTACTAAATGCATATGAAATTATACAGGGTAAGTAAGAACCCCCCAAAACGTGCGTTCACCTTGTCACCACCATCCACCATGAAGCCAAGAAACGCACAGGGAGGTGGCCCACTTCGGTGAGCGGTGGGAGGTGGCCCTCTTCGGTGGGCGGTGTACCATGCGGGTTGCTCCTGGTACTTCTCTGATAGCAGAGTGGACCTTGGAGCAACCCCATGGTTGTTGTGGTTTGCTTCGGCAGACCTGCCGTCGGGGCGTCGTACTTCGTAGTTGAAGGCGTAAGCAATCCTGCGACGCCCCATTAGGACGGGGGAAGATTTTGTTGGGATTTAGTGGGTAGTACTGGCTTTGCCGGTGAGTCCCACACCTCGTGCGTAAATGCATTTCCCAACGTTAAAAAAAGGTGCTTATTTAACACAATTTTTAAAATTTTTGTCTGTTTGTTCCGCCTAATCTCCGAAACGGCTGGACTGATTTTGACGGGACTCGCTGCGAAATATGTGATTTTATAAGGAGTAAAAGTAGTCCTTTACTTAGAACTTTTATTTTAGAAAAATAATTAGGGTTCCGCTCCAACACGTACCTAGGGACGCACCCGAACGAAGCGAGTTGATTAGTCGTTAGTTAATTAATAATTTCTTTTGCAAACAGGTTGTTTTTGGAGGTGGCAGAAAAAATTTCTATCCTCGCACTGAGAAAGACAGTAAAGGCCACTATGGAATAAGGAATGATGGAAGAAACCTGATTAGAGAGTGGCTTCTTAAGAAAGAAATCTTGGGCTCATATCCAAAATATATTTATAATAAGCAAGAACTTTTTAAATTGGATGATAAATATGATAGTGTCCTTGGATTATTTTCGTTTGACCACATGCCTTACCACCTTGAAGCGGAGGAAGACGATCCTACATTAAGTGAGATGACTCAAAAGGCTATAGAAATTTTGTCACGGAAAAATCAGGGCTATGTGCTGTTTGTGGAAGGTAGTTATTTATTCCAATATCTTAGGCAATTTTGTTATATACGATATTTTCGTTTTATTAAATCATCATATAAAAATATGATAATCATTTATTTATATGAAAAAGGCAGAGGCACTAAATTCGGTCGTAAGTTATTTTTTGTGTATCTTACACGATACCTTAGTTTATTAAAAACGAACTAGCGACACACCCTCGCTCCGTTCGGATTCGTCCCTACTTATGTTTTAAATTTTGATATAGATTTCTCAGAGATGAGATATTTTTCCGCAATAAAAAGTATGCTATATGTTGACCCGGATAACCAGCTATCATCATACTAAATTTCATCAAAATCGCTCCAGTGGTTTTCCGTGTGCGGTAACAGACAAACAGACAAAAATTCTAATAACTATAGATTTGGCCTCTGTATCAATAATAATATCTATTTCAATAAGATTTTGAAAAAAATATTTTATGTACAGATTCGGCTTCGTTACAATTTTATTATATGTATAGATATTTACAATACTTATTAAAAAAACGAGCTGAATAATCAAAGGTAATTAATTATTTTTACGTCTGAAGATAAAATAAATATATTTTTTCAAGGTGGAAGGATAGATACGGCCCATCATGAAACAAAGGCTCGAAAAGCGCTGGATGAGACGGCAGAATTTGCGAAGGCAGTAGAATCAGCTCTACGAATGGTTAATCTTGACGAAACTTTAATAGTGGTGACATCTGATCACAGTCATACCATGAGCTACAGTGGATATAGTAAACGGGGTTCGGATATTCTAGGAATTGCTAATGCAAAGGTAAGATAGAAGGAACTTAAGAAAAGTAAAACTTGATGGTAATACTTCTATAATCATGTGTTCAGACCTTTTTTAACGTCCCACTGCTCTGCACCCAGGCCACTTTAATACGAGGGGGATCAAGCCATAGTACACCACGCTGGCCAAGTGCGGGTTGGCGGAATTCACATGTCTTTCGAAAACTTGCTTAGTTCTCTTAGATACGCACTTCCGGAGGTCCAGGTTTCGAGTCCCGCGTGGGGCCAAGTTGAATTATTCATTGGACAAAGAAATGTAAACATAGTGAATGGGATTTAATTATGGTTATTTCTATAGCTAAATTTTTATATGACATCACTGAATAAATGAAAAATTAAAAAGTTTAAAATATGGAAATTATAATGTAACGCCATAATATAGACTTGCGCCATGTGCTGTTGAAGTGAAATTAATATGCTAATTGCTATTATACTCGAAGTTGCCTCATCGCTCTCGACAAAAACGTGAGGATTTTAAATATAAAGAGACTAAAATTTAATTTGAAAGTGTACAGCATATCATTTACCTTTAACATTTAAGACTTGCATATTTTTATTAAAATAAAAGATATACGTGCATATAACTTATATATAACTGACTAATATTATAAATCTAAAGAAATTAAAAGAGATTACTATTTTCTAGAAGTACTTTTGTTTATTGCCTTTAAATGAAATACTGTAATTAGTTTGCTAAAGTGAATTAATCTCTAGAAGGGTATCTTCCAGCCAACCTATGATAGTGACAAGTAGTGTTACAAAGCAGGCTTAAATCGTTCATTTTATACTAAATATACCAGCTGTGCCTCGCGGTTGATCCGCGTTAAATTTGTTTGATTATAAACATCAGTTTTACAACAATGTATAGAAGTCTGCCCGATTTGTTGACATTTATGATTACTGCCATCCCTTGGGTTGTATCATGATGATATATAGCCTTCCTCAATAAACGGGCTATCTGATACAAAATGAATTTTTCAAATCCGCTTAGTAGTTCCTGAGATTAGCGCGTTCAATCAAACAAAGTATAAATAACATAATATACCTATTATGTACATTGTAGGTACATACTATATACATTGTACATAGTATTACATACACTTATCTATGTAATACATAAAAATAGTAGTTTAGATAATTGTGGATTACCTTAGGTGAGATGATGATGTTTTTTTCTACATAGTATACTCGTATCTACTGGTCCGATTTGAACCTTCCTTATTTTCTTTTGTAAATTTTTTGTTAATTATTTTTTTAGAACAAAAATAATTTGGTGTCAAATTCTATATCTATTATTTACATAGATATAACTACATTCCACATGTTAAACTGATATATTCTAACTACATCGAGATATAAATAAGCAAAGCGAAACAATTCAGTACCTTATTCTCTTCTGTTTGTCAACCGATTTTCTTTATTTTGGTTTCATAGACATTGACGAGCTTTAGTGTTTTCAATACAAAAATATATGTGGGGTACCTACTTATGTACGCACGAATAAAGTTATACTTATTTGGTGTAACAGAACAAAAATAGCTAAAGATTTCATCCCGTATGTCTCAACTCTCTGTTTGTAAAAGCAATGCAGCTAACTTCATCATGTCGCTTTTTGGCTTTCGGTGTGCGCGCGCATCCTAAAAATTTTACTCTCATCGGAGGGCACGGTAGTGTCCCCGCCAAGTCGAGCTAATTTTTTCCAAACGTGCCAAAATAATTATAACATCAAAAAAATTCAATCATTATTTGATTGAATACTTGGGCTAACATTAGTATTTAAGTATAAAGACTCAATTTTTTTTAACTAAAATATCCATAGCTAATATGGCTATTTTTTCTTTAATTTCAGTATAATTCATCTGATAACTTACCGTACACTATTTTGAGTTACGCTAACGGACCGGGCTTCAAAGCTAACACAGACTTCAAGAGACACAACATAATGCTGGACGATATGAGTACGTAATTATTATTAACAAATTTTTGATAGCTTCACTTGTCTCTATGTAATCAAATCTTGAAAATTGATTTTAATCTATTTCTAATTTTTTTTTCCAAGTATATGAAACTAGTGACTCACCCTCGCTCCGCTGCTTCCCCATACAAACTTTCACTCCCATTTGCACCCCCTTAAGGGATAATTTTCGAGATAAAAACTATACTATGTCCTTTCCAGGGTCTCAAACTATCTTCTTACCAAATTTCATCTAAATTGGTTCAGTAGTTTCGGAGCCTTTTATATAAAAAGAAACTAACAAAAAAACAAATTTTTCCTCTTTATAATATTAGAATAGATCGATGATAATTTTATATCTTTTACTGTCATAATTTGATATCATCAAGCTTGATCATCATCAAATGTGGACGGCATCAGATAAAGGATAGTGTAAGAATAAATTCAGATGCTTTAATGGCACTAGTGATTGATAGCCATTCAAAAATTTTAATTAGATCTTTCAGAGCTTCGAATCAGACCTCTGAGAGTTAGTTTAATTCAGACACTAATTGTAATTTATAATAAACTTAATAAATACTTTTTATAATAGAAATGAATCAAATATTGCTATTGCGTTGAAAACTTTGTTTTATCATTAAGCATTTGTGTTTAATTGTATTATATAATTAATACGAGTAGGTAATTCTTGATATCTCTCTCTCTCTCTCTCTCTCTTATATAATTTTTTTCCCGTATCTTGGAAACGGCTCTAACGATTCGCATCAAATTATTTATTCAGTTAAGACTTATATCGATACTTCCATACTTACTATTATAAATGTGAAAGTGTGTTTGTTTGTTTGTTTATTTGTTTGTTTGTTTGTCCTTCTTTCACGTCGAAACCTAGAGACGGATTGACGTGATTTTTTTGTGGAGATAGTTAGCGGGCTGGAGAGTAACATGGGCTACTTTTAACAGCGGGAGATTATCTCATTCCCACGGGAAAACACGTTATAATACAATCCCAAAAATATTTATTATCAGAATTACTTGAAACTTGGTATAAATGCATTTCAATAAAATTAAATAAATACGTGTTTTAGCATTTTTCAAAATTCATCCTATAAGGGGGTAAAATAGGAGATAAAGGTTTGTATGAAACTACCCTTTTATAGATTTTTTTGGAGTTTTAGCGCGAGCGAAGCCGCGGGTTCTGCTTTTATTATAAGGGCTTTTTAAGTTTATCCATATACACAGGTGTCTTTACTAAAAAAAAAACTCAATTCTTATACCTTTACCGGAAAATTCCGAGGGAAGCTCGCTCGCCTAAATTCCGACTATATTTTAAATCGTAATAATTTTAGAATATATATATATATATATATATATATATATATATATATATATATATATATATATATATATATACACTCTTTTTTCAGATGACTTGAACTATACATATCCTTCACTGGTCCCCATATCAAGGGAAACTCATGGTGGAGAAGATGTAGCGGTTTTCGCTAAGGGCCCATGGTCACATCTTTTTAGTGGGAACTATGAACAAAATTTCATTCCACATGCAATAGCATACGCAGCTTGTATAGGCTCTGGATTAACTACATGTAAATTATGATATTAGGCAATATAATAGGCTAATAAATTATTTATAGAACTATTTATTTGTATTTTATTTTAGTAATATTCATATTATACCTATGTAAACCTTTTAATATTATTATGAGAGCAGTGTACCAAACTGGATACTTAAATCATATTTTAGAGGTACTCTTTTCTTTATTATATACTTGTACAAGCTACTTAACCTTTCTTCGTTCTGGTGCGTCCATAGGTAAGTTTTTTTAACGGAATTTTAATTCTTTTATTAAACTAAAGTAGTATAAGTTACTCCTTATAACATCAGCTATTTGCCAGTGAAAGTCCCATCAAAATCAGTCCAGCCGTTTCGGAGATTAACCGAAACAAACACACAGTTATTCTTATAAGTACCGTATATAATTTCATAGATACATATATACAAATGATTAATGATAATGTCTGTGTTTTTATTCGTTCACCATTTTATAGACGTACTTTATTTCATTATATGATAGTTAAGTTCGAATCAAGCATAACAAAAGTAAATCACGCATGCAAATCAATAGTCGCAAAGAATAACATTGTAACTCAATTTTGAGATAATTTAATATTAGACATTAATTTGTGATTTCGAAATATTGAAATTGCTACAATATTTAATTACAATGTTGTTCCTTGCACAAATTAATATATATTTTAATATTTATATATGATGATGTTATCCTAGCCGATTCCGGTCACGGCGGCCAATGTCATTGAGATTAGCCAACTGCGCAGGAGATAGTATAGTACACAAGTGTACGCGCAGACACAAGTGCACTCTCTATTCCTGTCACTCACATACTCCGGTGGGACGACCACTCGACGCGACCGGTAAGAGTTAAGGCGCAGGACCGAAGGCTTTACGTGCTCTCCGAGGCACGGGGGTGAAACACCGCCAACTTCCCAACTCCGGGCTGTTACTGAGACTTACTATACAGAAAGACTCAATAACTAAACTTGGCCCGACCCGGGTCTCGAGCCCAGGGCCTCCGGGTGTGCAGCCGTACATGCTAGCCACCACACCACCGCCGAGGCAGTTATTTATATATAGCGTACGTATCATAGTATTTATTAAAAGCACTATGAAACAATAAAGCATATAACTGAATATTCCGTACCTGAAAATCAAACTAATTAACATACGAGTAGCAAGGCTGCTACTTTAACAGATGATAGGTACCTAATAAATTTCAGCTATATTCCTAATACTTTCTAAGTAATTATGCCGTATAAAAACAAATGGACAGACATACATGACAAAAAACGTGTGTGTGTACTTATGTACGCACGTAAGAAGTTATACTTCTTCGGTATAACAAAATAAAAATAGCTAAAGATTTCATCCTGTATGTCACAACTCGCTGTTTGTAAAAGGAATGCAGTTAACTTCATTATTTCGGTTTTTGGCTGTCGGTGCATCCTAAAAATTTTATTCTCATAATTTTTTCCAAACGTGCCAAAAGAAGTATAACTTCAAAAATTATTAGAAACCTTAGAAAAAACTAAATATTTTGCATATCACCATTTAAGTTTTTTACATTGACGTCGCTGTATGACTCCACTTGTTACTCCAATTTAATTACTATTAATTAAAACGCGTTGACTAACACAATTTTGTTATTATTTTTTAGTCATAAATGATTTAGACAATGACTAAACGGCGATTCTACAGATATTTCTTCAGCATATAACTTTTATACTTTGATGTAAAAAAAAACTAAAACTTCTATTCAATAATCTATACATATAATAAAATTGTAACTAAGCCGAATCTGTACAATAAATGTTTTTTTGGAAAATCATATTGAAATAGAGATTATTATCGATACTGAGGTCGAATCTATAGTTTTTAGAATTTTTGTCTGTCTGTTACCGCATCACGGAATAACTACTGGAGGGATTTTAATGAAATTTGTTATGGTGATAGCTGGTTATCCGGGTCAATATATAGGATATTTTACTGCTCATATCAAGTATGGTCACTTTAAAAGTGATGATTTTTAGGAATGTTTATGTTTAACGATACTTTAAATAAAAACTATATTATAATTGTTGAACCATTTTTCGTCATTTCTTCATAGGTCTGAAGTACAAATCTGTAATTGAATTGAATCTAAAGCGGCTTCCTTTAGCCTTTCTTACGTTCTCATGTACAGTGTCATGTTTAGTAAAATTAAACTTATAAACAAACGCAGGTAAAGCCATGTATGTATATTAGCAAGTGCACTAATCTATATTATAAACGGTATATAGTAATATTATAAATTTGAGAGTTTGTGAGTATGGATGTATGTTTGTTACTCTTTCACGCAAAAACTACTGAATGGATTTTGATGAAACTTTACAATAATATAGCTCATACATCAGAACAATACATAGACTACTTTTTATCCCGGAAAAATGTACGGTTCCCGTGGGATAGATTTGTTTTTGTTTTTCTAGAGGCGAACTTGAGCGAAGCGAGGGTGAGCCCCTAGTATTATACCATACGTGAAAGAAATCTTGTCTATTTGTTAGCATTCCACTATTGAATAGACAAAGTTTCGATGAAAATTGACTATTACATCGATTATATCATAAAGACGGATATAGGATACCTTTTATCCTCGCTCCACAGACAAGCCAGCAGAGTTGCAAGCAAAAACTAGTAGTTAGAAAATTCGAGAAACACAATTTGTCACTAGCTATTTTTAAATTTGTACCTTAAAATTTAAATATGTCAAATCATGAATCACTTATTGGTCGTTACAAAATAAATATTACAAACGTCAGATAACACATCCGTAGATAAGAGATATCGATCATCGGCACGTGGCAATTGATTCACCTGAATTAGCAATTTTATGAAGAAATCTTTTTTCTACTAAACCTGATGTAGTCAGAGATCCCTTAGACATTATTAAAAATGATTACCATTTTAGTTAATTCTCGTTTTGATTTCGTTTTTTCTGTGAAAATTATAGATTAATTATCGCTATCCTTTAGCTATATTATAGTTATTTTTTAGTGCTGTTTAATTAATATATGCATAGTTTAATCGCCACATTTCTCTACAATCGAATCAAAGTTAACGAGAATTCAATAGAATTCATTTTTAAATTAGTTTAGGGATCTCTGTATAGTGTATGATATATCTTCATATATGCGTAATAATTGGGTTTGCTGAGTTATATAGCCTCTTAGGTATTGTTAGGTTTTGTATAGATGTATGGGAAAATAAAATGCTAAAACAGAATTTATATTTTTTGTCTCATTGATTAAATAACAAACACTGTATAAACAAACATACATAACCGATTTTAACAAACTTTTAATGGTTTCATATTGATTGGAAATTTTACAAGAGCTCGTTGAATGACTTTAGTAATTTGGTTTTGTAGCCTTTTAAAGCAGTTAAAATTTTTCATAAAATACTTATTTACATAATATTAAAACTGTTTTTTGAATCACTTAAAGAATCTTTGTCAATGACGATTCGATTTTCCTATTCATTAAAAATAATAAAATAAAAACGTGTATGTGTACTTATGTATGTATGTAATAAAATAAAGACGTGTATGTGTACGTACGTAAGAAGTTATACTTCTTTGTGGTAACAGAAAAAAAAATAGCTAAAGGTATCATCTCCTATGTCACAACTCCCTGTTTGTAAACGGAATGCAGTCTATCATATCGCTTTCAGCTAACTTTATCACGTCGCTTTTTGGCTTACTCTCATATTTTTTGCCAAGCGTGCCAAAAGAAGTAAAACTTTAATAAAAAAAGCAAAATACCACACATAGCGTGTAATTAATCTATTGTTATTTTGTATTTATTATTGTACCCTTCGAACAATTTCTTATTCAAAAAATGAGATTATCGCAAAGTGAAATTTAAAATTAATTGAAAATAAGCAAAGAATTGTCTAAGATCTAAATACTCCATCTATTTTGAAGTCGGCTAAAATGATGACTAGATGTTTGAACAAAATTTTTAGTTATTACCAATCCTAACAAACTGTAAGGCGCCACACTATCAAATGATTCATCACTTATATTAATATTGAATATACGTAACATACTAGTCACTACCTGTGGTTTCGCCTGTACAAATATATTTATTATTGTAAATTAAGACAATGGTAGCCCAGTGGTAACGCGCTCGCTTGGGAAACCGATTGAAGCAAGTTCAAATACCGGGTCTCACACCTCTGATATTTTCATATGCGAATCATTTCCAACATGATTACCACTTGTCTTAACGGTGAAGGAAAACATCGTGAGGAAACCTGCATGTCTGAGAAAATCTAGGATGTTTTCAAAAGACATGTAAAGTCCGCCAACCCGCACTTGGCTAGCGTGGTGGACCACCACTTGGTTATGTGGTCTGTTTCGACAGTCGATTATAAAGAAAAATACTAAGTTAAATACTAAATAACTTTATAGGAAATACAAATGTATAATATCAATAAGCTTCCTTACTTGTGCCTGATAGTAGCCTATGTGTATCTAAGTATCCGTATCCGTAGTCCGTATCCGTGTCCGCAGTCTGTGTAGTAAATTTCATCCAAATCCGTACAGCATTTTTAACGTGAAATTTTCTAACATAGATACACATACACATTTATAACAGTCCGATTCTGACCATGAAATCTTCGATATTCAGCTAATTATGTATGTAGTTCCATATTAATTAAAAAACAATTATCGCATCCGATACATATAATAAAAATCTAACTAAACCGAATCTGTACATTAAATATTTTTTTGAAAACCTTATTAAAATAGACATTATTATCGATACAGAGGCCGAATCTAGTCTTTAGAATTCTTGTCTGTCTGTGTGTTACCGCATCACGGAAAAACCACTGGAGGGATTTTGATTAAATTTGATATGATGATAGCTGGTTATCCGGGTCAATATATAGGATACTTTTTGCTGAAAATATCTCATCTCTGAGAAATCTGTACTAAACGGTAAAACATAAGAGTAAAAGTCACTATACAAGTTTGA